AATCGATCCTAGGTGGGGGAACACGTGAAACGGTAGTGGTGGTGGGCGACGGTCGCGGAGCTGTGTGGTCATGTCATGATCAACGATCATCATGGCTATACCCATGATCGACATGCTGGATTCAGTAGATCGTCGAACCCCTATAAGAGGGAACCCCAGATCCCCACAGAACCCCCATTTGTTACGAAAAGCCTTTACAAGTTGAAGTGGTATCAACATTCGAAATTAAATGAGAAAAGTGGGGTAGGTTCTTTTGAAATGCAGGCATATCATCGAAGTGGGTGAAACTAGGGATCCCGCGGATTCAGGCGAGAACGAGAACGGGAGCGGTCCAAGGTGCCGCTGAGGCCGGCGCGGGAACGAGGTCCTGTCGAAGTAGCGACGGTGATGCCACGGTAGTAGAGGTCGTCGTCCGCGGCAGTGAGTCAGTGAAGATGTCATAGTCCGGGGTGGAAGTAGTTGTAGTCGAAGAGGATGGAGGACGGGGTGGAGGACGGGGTGGGGGAATGCGATGATCTCGAAATGATGTAGTGCCACGTAGTTCAGCCTCCAACTGATTGCTGTCGAAATTCAAAGTGTGAATCAGCCCAAATGTAGTCATCAACTCGTGAGTATAGTGGAGAGCAGTGTGAGTGGCTTGTGTCGCCTGCCGAATTGCAGAGTCAAGTCCTCAAAGTTGCACTTGAAGATGAGGGGAAGTAATACGTTCCATAAAGGGAGGGGAGAGGATTGCCAAACAAGTGCGAAGAAGGGTGAGGGTGAGGTCTAAAAAGGCATGCACATGAAGAATCTCACGGTGTAGTACTGCCTGAGCCACCATAGGGATGCCCTCCATCGGCGCCAAGCCAGCGGGTGAGGGAGACATGGCGGGAAAAGGAGGGAAGGTACTCATCGCTCTGAAATACTAAGTCGCCGACAGGTTCCAACGAACCTCAAAAGTACTTCGGTCGCTCTGACCACGTTGAGGCGCTAAGCCAGCTTAGACCGCTTCGGTCACGTAAAGGCATGAGCCAACTTGGAATTCCAAAGATGAGACAAAAATTAGAGTTCTTTCGGCCTAGGCCACCTGCTGTCCGCTCCGGACACCTACGTTCCCAAAGGCGGGGAACATGGACAGACACCCGTTCGACGGGTCCACAGGAGGCACTCTACGAGCTCATCCCGGACTCTCACTAGCAAAGACACACTTATGGATAATATGCGTACTGACTTGACAGCGGTGCCACACGCCAGCCTAAGAAACCCAAATCCTGAAAGGTCCAGGAAAGTCCTACGCGCCTGGGGGTCTTCAAAAGGAAAAGTGGCCCAAAGCGCAAGGCGAAACCGATCCGACAGAGTGACGGCGTACCGTGCGTGACTGCAGAGCTGCATGAAAGTTCAAAAGTTCGAGGAAAGCAGGTACGTCGGAGTGGCCAACTCCGATATCACCAGATCAAATGGGCGTCTTCGTTGGTAGCGGTCCCAAATGATCTGCCGCTACCCCCTGCTGAAGTAAACGAAAACAATTCAAAAGAATCCCTGTGACTACAAGGGGCACACACACACACACACCCGGCTCACACAGCGAACTTCCGCACAATCCCCGGCCACCGCAACCACCCAACAACCCATGACATTCCAGACGACGACCAATGCCGCCAATGCTTGTCCACTAAGCAGCCAGCACCAGCAGCACTTGCCACACCAGCTACCGGCTCCAACCACCGCCGGCTCAGGCCCTACCAGATCCGCAACCACTCCTTCTACAACAGACGCCAGCCCAATACAAAGCAGGCCGGGTGAGACTGCATCATGGACTTGCTCACACTGCACACTTAGGATTGACGCAGGTCCGCAACCAGCTCAGCCGCAAACGACTCCACCACATGCGTAAGAACAGATGCCGACAACCAGTCGTGCCCACGCGCAACCTTCCCACTGACCTCCAGGTCTGTGCAATTTGTCGCGCAGCCCTGCCCAGACTTGACAGCACCCGCGCCCACATCAAAGAGCATCGCCCAGACGAAACACCAACATCACTCAACCGCCAAGCGCGCCAACTCAAACTACCTCCATGGGATCAGGTAGACACCAACACGAGCGAAGCAAGACAGAAGAATTTCCTCCGGCTTCGCAAGCACAAACACGACCCGATCGAGATCCCGACGACAATCCTCCAGAAGTACTTCCCACCAAAAGCAAGCAGAGCATGGAACGCGTTCTGCAAAACATGCTGGCGCTACTTTAACAAGAATCGATTGCGACAAAAACAGTGCAGACAGAAACCCGCACCGACCACCGGCATACAACACACACAACGCCACTGGTGGCACAACCTCAGGCAACATGGCGACGCAACAGAAATCGCAACACTGCTTAACACAACAACCACAGCACTTGACCAGATCTACGGCTACAAGGACCCCACACAGCCAGAACCCGCACATTGACTACATGACCTGGCGTCCCAGAACCTGCCAAACACGACAATCACACACGACCCTCACATTGCACAACGTATCCGTGAAGCAACACATCCCGGCCCACGAACTCGACATCATCACCCGACACAATGTATGACTATCAACATCAGCGGCGTTACCAACATTTTGGACACTTCTCCGATGGCTACAAGCCCGAACTTACAAACCCGACCTCATCCACATGCAAGAACATAAATGCAATCCTGCGAACATTGCCGCAACCACACGCTACAGCAAGAGCATCGGATACCACCTCTACCACGTGCCTGCGCTGACTATCACCAGTTCCAATCCTTACACCACCCGTCGCGGCAAACAGCGCAAACGAGCGCAACATGACACCTTCCACGGTGGTGTCTTGACGCTGGTCAAACACCGATGAACATACTCAATATGCTGCAGCCGACGCACTTCTGGCCCTCGGCCCGCACAAGCTCTACTGCATTGCTGGCGACTGGAACACTGAACCTTCACAACTACTACTCTCCTCATGGCTCACGCCACAACCACACACATTTGCACCCACCCACTCAACCAGACACAATGGCAACCGCATCATTGACTACGTCATCAGCAGCGTGCCACACACCACCCTCACTACAACACCCACTACCATGACACCGCTGAGGGACCACCTACCAGTCACATGGCAACACTGCATTCAACAAGCAGGCTCCGACCGCAGCACCACACTACGCCGAGTTTGCAGCCTCGGCCCACCACCATCTATGACCACTGCTACCTGGCAACACATGCTAGACATAGTCTGGCACACTCACTTCAAATACAATGTCCAAGACACAACAACCACTACCTGGACACAACCCTACATCGACCTCATCGAGAAGGGCGACATTGACATTGCATGGCATAAACTACAGCGTGACATTGAACAAGCACTCGTCGAAGCCACCACCCAAGCATACCAACGCCTGGGTCTACCACACCACACCCGCAACATACAACCACACGGCGCCTTCTCCTGTATGACTACTACCACGACCACTCGCCGCCCACACAGCAGTCTCACCAACAAAGACAACAAGTTATGGAATAGCATAGCACGCCTTCGTGAAGCACTCCGACACACAGCAAAGGATATTCACCAAAGCCCTCACTTGCAACGGCTCCGCAGAAAGCTCTCACACATAACCACCAACTATGACCACAACAACCTACGCGACCTCCTCATGGACCACAAGCGCCAGCTACAAAGCCTACAACACTGTCAAAGCAGGCGACGAATCGCCAACCGTCTACCGATGGTTTCGCAATCCGTAACCTCAACACACTGACCACATCTCCACAACCAAAACAACTGACCTAACATCCACCATGGCAGTCAACACCACCACCAACGAGGCCCTCCAACACATCACCGCCTACTGGCGACAAATTTGGCGGCGACCACTGCCTGACCACGTTCACGCCTCAAACACCACCAAGCACCTGGGACCGCCGCGAGCCCCAGCTGAATGGGAACCATTCTCACCAGATGACTTATATACAAAGCAGAAAGCACACAAAGCCCCTGGCGTTGATTGCTGGTACGGCAGCGACATTGCACTCATCCCACGCCATGGCTTGCATGGCCTCACTGACATTTTCACAACATGAACGAGCACCACGCGATTGGACTGAATCCCGCCAGGCGCACAAGCCTAAAGACGACACACAACCTACTGACCATTGCGCCATCATCCGCACACCTGATCGCCGGCCACTATCACTGTCAAGCACGGGGTACCGGACATGGGCAGCCGCCCGCATACATAAAGCAAGTACAACAACGTGGATCAACAGCTGGGTCCATCCCTCCACCTATGGAGGCCGCAAACATTACACAGCAACACAGGCCGTAGCGACCATCTTGAACAGTCCACAAACCGTCTCGTAGCCACACTCGACCTCAAACAAGCAGCCACTCTGCAAGTGGGAAACGGGAAGCTTGCGTGTAAACACGGCGTGTCGCTGTGTCCCACAACAATGCCCTACAAGTGTGTCCCTGCCAGAGTGTTGTACATGAGAGCCCCCGAGGTATATTGTAGGTTGAGTTTGTCACATGTCCATTAGATTCGTGACACTAGCACCATTGCGGTCATCATCAATACCATCACCATCATGATCATCGTTGTCATCACCATCATCGTCACCATGTGTTTCAGACGGCCCCGTCTGTCAGTTTTACTCTAGTTTGTCTTTCTGTTGTTTGGGAGTGGTCACAGTTACAGACACCACTGTATAGGTTCACTCAAGATGCCGTCGTCGTGATGAGTGTTGCATTGACAAAGTGGTAAGCATGACAAACTGAAGAAGTGCAAAATGACAAACGAAAAACCATGTTCAGTCAATGCAGAAAAAGTGCCTGCGAGACAACAAGTCCTTTTGTGGCGTGACGGGCGCACCAGTTTTTTCGTTATTTCGGAACAACCGTGAGGCCACTGTTTACTATCTAAGCCGTGCTGTTTGAAGTCTGGGACCGAAACATTTTTCTATTTCACCTTGCTTCAGGCCACCTTTGGGCGTTTGCTGGCAGCTTTGCAGTCTTGTGGAGCTGGAACTGCACAACGGCTGTCTCCTTTGGAGTTGGACCTGCGGGCGAAGAATGATGTGAAGAATGATTTGGCGCCAATGCAAAAATTAGTCTTGGATGTGAAACTACAAGCACGGCAGGGGATGAGGTACAACGAGGAAGTCGAAGAAAACGGGAGTCCCGACTGGAGGTCCAATCGGATTCTTGATAGTTTACTCGAGCATGTTCATGAAGCTGAACTGGAGGTCCCAACTGTGGATGAGACGGAGGCGCCCAAATATTTGGGGCCGCCGCGGCTGAAAATGTTGCTTTCTGAAGATGTCTTGAGACAATATGTGAAATCCCAGGAATACAAGAAATCCGCACATGTGAAAGCAAATGTGTCCAGAACGCGTCCCATCCAGAATGCTGCACATGGAGCTCCAGAAAGTTGGGGTCGCTTTTGGACATGTGTGCAGCGGAGCCCACAGAAAAAGGAACATCAGAAGTTGGAAGAACGGTTGCATGCATATTTCCAGTCAACAGCCATGAAGCTATCACATGACGGACCCCTCTACCATGGCACCGAGCAGAGGATGTGCAATGATCCATTTCTCAGCAAGTCTCACTTGACGGAACATTCTGTCCATTAGTCTCGCGCATGAGGCAACCTTGCTTGGCCCTCCCGACGGCGCACATAAACAGTCGTAGACAGGTAACACAAGTGTCACATGAATGATTGTCAATCACATTGCATGAAAATTGCAAGAGTTTGAAAGACCTTCACAAGAACACGCCCTGGAGCGCCTTGAGCGGAGAAGCAAGAACCTCCGTAGTTGTCATCATTTTCAGCGAAGCTGAGCAATCAGAAACCTCGTTGATGGCATTGGGCGTTTGACACAAGTCCGGTTTAATTACACGTTTGTCCTACACATGTTCGTTCGAAGCAAGAAACGATTGACATCAATCACGTTGATTTGATTTCTTTCTCAGCTTGTGCTTTGACGCTCACTTTCAGCGCCGTTTCACTGGTGGACCAAAATGCAAGATGCATGTTGCTCATTGGAAGCGTCGGTGATGTAGTCTGTGAATTCTTCTTTTGTATCTTTCTTGTTACTACTAGTAAGGCCAGGAGCCCCTAGTAGCGTCCTTGCTCCTAGTAGCGATGCACTTGTTCCTAGTAGCTTATTATTCCACCAAGAAATTATGCGTATCCGTATATTCTTTGTTTTGGATATTTTGTGTGTGGCACCTGGATACTGATACTGATGATACTGTATGTTGAATGTTTTGAATCTGTACAAGCCCTGCTCGCGGAAAGACAAGGTGAATTTTTGGGATTTGGTTTTCACGTTTCTCGCATTGTGAGGCGCAATCGAGCCTGAATTGAAACCTCACTGATACACTTCGTGAGAAGCGACCAAAAACACTCAATCTTATCCTGTGGCCGTCACTGAGCGAAAGCTCACCGTTCTGCAGAGAAAACTAGAGCTTTTGCTACTAGGAGCAAGGACGCTACTAGGGGCTCCTGGCCTTACTACTAGTAACAAGAATCTATTAGAAACAATAAGTAAAATAGAATTCAATGCTCCGGTCTGTTCCGGTCCGTCTTGCACAAGCTCACCCTATGCTGCGAGTAGCTACACGCTTCAAGTTACCAATCTCAAACTCCACTTACCTTTGAGCACTTTCCATTGGCCTCTGTGTTTGGGCACGAAAGCTTGGGCTAGATTGAGCTCTTTTCGCGGCATTTCGCGACAGCTTTGCGTTCGGAATGTCAAAATCGGTTTGTGCGCTACCAGTACGTTGTGCGGCGAAACATTCGACTTCAAGTTCCTCTCTCATCGTCTTTCAGGCCTTCGCTTCCTCTTTGACCACTATCCAGCTGTCGGTCGCAGTAGGGAGGTTCGCAGTGGTTTGCTCCATGCTGTTCATGCGCATATGCAGCTGTTCGATCTCGGTTGCCTGTGTTCAGATCACAGGTGAAGGACTTGGCTTGGCTTTGCTCTTGACGGCAGTCATGGGAGGAGCTTTCACCGATGGCTCTATGCATTCGGCTTCGGGCCGGATCGCAAGCTTGAATCTCCATGTCGGCTGAAGCTTGGGTCCACGAGGTCATTCCCAGTTTGGCAAATAGAACTCCTTTTTCTTCCTTTTCTCGTTGTACCGACAGGTGACGGCATGTTGACACACTTGAAGACGGGACGACGGGAAGGCTCGAGTGATCGCTGTCAACGGACCGAGTTGCATGCACAACTAAGTGGCTTCAGCTTTCGATTCTTGTGACAGTCGATCTTTGCCCTCGGCTATGAAAGACTTGGGCATCGGTGTTTCTCTTGTACGTGCCCGAACGTCGATTCGGACGGTGGTTCCCAGAATGTCATGCTCTCAGGCACGCATATGTCAAGTTCACTTCAGGATTCTCATGATCCCTTGTTGAGCATGTGGCCGGAGAACGTGCGAACATCGTGGACGTAGCAGACATTGAAGGTAAGAGCAGTTTGGGGACATGGCCAATAATATTCATATTCTTCTTGCTGGTGGTGGTCACTGCATAGATGTGGTACGCGTATTGGTTGTGGAAGCAAGTGGAGAAGCTGAAGGAGAATATCAAGCTATAAGAGCGTAGATGTGCTTACACTGACAGCCTTCATCAGAGAGAGAGAGGAAAAGACAAAATGATTGAAGAAATATACGTCCAGAAGGTACATAGAGGATTGGTGAAGAACAGTGGATATGTCTGTGAAGATGGGTTCGGTGATGACGGTTGACATCACAAGAATTATGACTTGCAGAGGCTGAAGGCAGAAGCAAACGGAATACCTATTAAAGGAAATTGAAAATGATCAAAGAATAAAAGGCACATCATGTGATTTAGAAGAATCACATGGTGCTATGGCATAAGTCGAAGCAGGTAGTGAATTACAACCAGGAGAGATGGCATTGGCATAACCTGAAAGTGATGAGATTTGGAAACATACCGATGGAATATTTGCAGCCAAGAGAAGAGGAAACGGCGGATGAAGTGAAGATGCACAGAACGGAAACCTAATAGTGATTGCATGAACTATGAGTCCAAAAAGACCTAGATTGATAGAGCATCCCTTGTTTGATGACTCCAACCAGAAGGTCCGGTCTGCATACGAAACAAGATATATAGGGTGATTAGAGAAGAAGTGGTTTGAAGAGAGGGGTGAACAACCAGATTTTTTGAAATCCAATTCAAACTTGAAATCCTCCATCTTTTTCTGGACAATTCATCATTGAAATTCTAGGCAACCTGGAACGCACAAAGCCCTTAGGAAAATTTAAATAGATTAATTATTCCATATGCTTGTGTCATGGAAACGAATAAGATTGATATATTGTAAATATACCCTTGAAGGATTTATAGAAACTATTAAATTAAAAATATATTGAAGGAGATTGATTGTGTCATGCAAGCTGTCTCAGAGTGAACACAGTAGGTTATGTTCCTAAGACGCTTCTAGCCAAATTTTGCTACGCTTCACGCTTTGGTGAAAACCCGCTTGCGCCCGCGATTTGCCATTTGCGGGTGTTTTCAGTGGTAGCGGAGCCTTGTTGCTGGTTTTTTGGACCTGTTGGGTGGCCTTGCTTGCGCTCCGCTCGCCGTGCTTGTTCTAGGATCTTTTTGCGCGCCAAGCACTTCGTCCCGGTGGCCGAGGGTGGTGCACTTTGCGGCACTCTAGGTTTCGATTAGGGATAGGGTGAACAAGTTCTTTTTGCTTTCGGCCGGACGGCCTTTGTTGGGCAAGCGCCTGCAAGGACTTCTGGAGGGAGAAGAAAGAGCTTTGAATTTGAGGTTTTGCAATTTCACTACGTGTTTCAAGAACACCAAAGTTGTTTGTTGAGCATGGCGGATGACAAAGACGCCAACTCCGGCGCATGGAGCCGGGTGCCAACCTGGGATGGTTCATCTCAGTCATGGAGGGCATTTCGAAAGGAGATGTCATGGTGGCTAGTAGGGTTGGATGTGGCCTCAACCAAGAAGTACAACCTCGCCGCCAGATGGTTATTGAGGTAGACAGGCGTGGTACGCTAGAGGAGAGAAGAGTTCGAGCTCAGTTAATTCGAGTTCCAACGAGAAGTCAAGCTGCCCAATCCTACCACAGGTGATGAAGAAGTTGTCACTCCTGAAGATCCTCTGAGTGGGATCAATAAGTTGGTTCGATTTTTGGAGGAGGTGACGGGCAGGACATCGCTGGACAAGCGTGGATAGCTCAGAAATTCTTTCTACTTGGAGATGAAGCGGAAGTCTGGTGAATGGATTTCGGACTTCGCCACGCGATACCGCGGGTTAGTGGCCGAGATGAGATCCGAGGGGGTGGCTTCAAGCACAAGTTGGGACTAGATCCCATTAGATCCCAACTCCGGGAGACCGCCTTATCAGGTGCTGAGGATTACCCTACCATCGAGCACCACCATCGAGCGCAAGAATCTGAGCTTGTTCAAGGACCTTTATGTAGCAGACCCCCTATAGAGACGGTCAGGCGACGGCGACCAGAGATCCCTTTGTTGCACCGGTTCCTCAGCCAACAAGGAAATGTGAGCAGGCCGTTATTACATGCTTCTTCGATGGCAAGTTCGGCAGCAACACGATTTATGAAATCGGGTTCATCGACGGTATCCTCCAATAGAATGATCTCAAACACGGCCTATAGAAAGCCTTTTGGTTAGAAGCAGGCCATGGTGTCTGAGGTTGAGGAAGAAGCTGAGCCGGACAATATGGACATGGAGCCTGGAGGCTGTGAACCTCCGCCTCTGGAGGATGCGCTCACGACCGAGGCTGAATGTTTAGCGGTTGAGCTGGACGAAGCGGACGCCTAAGGGGTCGATGATGAGACCCTGCAGGAAATTGAGCAGAGCGTTGAAGTAGTGGCTGAGGTTTTTTTTGCGATGCAAGAAGCTCGCCGTAAGCTTCAGGAAATCCGCAAGGATAGGGGCTATGGAAAGGCATCTTTATCTTCTTCATCGACTTCTCTTACCTCGACAGTGAGCTTTAAGAAGTAATCGGATAAACATCCGTGTTTCGATTGCGGATATAAGATCTTGGAATTGGAAGAGCATGAAAATATGGTGCTTCGCTATTAGCCGCTTTGCACCGACGCCTTTGTTTCCACTATACAGGCTCTTAATGATCCTAAAGAGGTGAATTCGCTTGGTTTCGCTTGGGGCAAAAATTTGGTTGGAGTTTTGGATAGTGCATGCAATCGGATTTGTATTGGTTCGAGGTGGTTGTAGGGCTTCTTCGATGGTTTGAAGATTTCCGTTCTCCCGAAGTTAATCGCAAGGCATAATGATTTGTAGTACATTAATTCAAAGGAATTTCTCCTGCACCTAAATGTTCATAAAAAAGAACTTTACGGGAGAAATTTATTATAGCTCTAATTGCCTCCAAAAAGTTCCCTGCCTACTAACAATACTAACGAAAGAATTAGTTTTACGAATATTTAAAAACAAACTACCGCGTCACTTACCATGTAGGGTAATCTCCACCTCTCTATGCAGAGAAGTGGCTAGGTCTGGAACCCCGGAAGTGGCGTCGCTTCGGTTTGGACGGTGCTTTGGAAGTTTAATTTGGCTTCAAGCAATGGATATATTACTCTATTTTCTCGCTTGATTAAGGTTGCCCGCCTCAGGCGCCGTTGCGCCATTGGTGCAACTATTGCGCTGCATGTTGCAGC